GTGGGATGAGTCTGCCCCAGTGTTGGAGGTCCACGTTATCAGAGCAGGAATGACCGCGAACTTGTGGTTTGGCCATGAGCTCAAGGCCACTGGTGTGATGGCTTCAGAGAGGAGCTCCAGGGCAGACAGTCTTCTTTTAGGGTGTCTTGTGATCAGAGGGCAGGTGTACAAATCATGAACCAGTGAGACCCCTTGTACCACCATCTGAACAAGTTCCCTCACACTGTTACTGAGTCCAAGTTTGTACAACAGGCCAATAAGTCAAGAGATGAGATGTTGGAGCAAGGAATAGTGACTTTACTCCGAAAGCCAGCAGACTAGTGTCTCAAAGAACCATCTTGCCCGAGTCAGAATCCAGGCTCCTTTTATACTAAAAGGGAAGGGGGTGTGGTTGGTTGTTGCAAATTTCTTGGTGTCGGAATCCTTTGTTCTCACAGCTGCCCACGTGGGGCAGGTCACAATGTTCCTATAAACCTCCAACAAGACAATTGTTATTTTCTGTTCTGCAACTTTTTATCTCTATGTGAATAGAAAAGTGTTTTGTTTTTAAAGGTCAGAGCCTTGAGAATGGGCTCTTTTGTGCATTTCAGGCTCTAGGGGACATCCTTTTACAAAAGGTGCAGAACCAGCGTGACTGAGCCCAGAGCACAGGGTTAGAGCCGAAGGCGCAGGTCCAGTGTGGGGCCAGGTTGGTTCTTCTCTGTTACAAAGCCACAGGGCTTACTGACTGGGGTGGTCTGGTCCACAGTCAACCCAGAGCCCTTTACGAATCACCTTGGTTTCTGTTTTTCCCTTGTCTGAGTCATGAATCTGGCTCTATAAGTCTTCTTCTGTGGATAGGGAACTGTGTGAGCTTGGAGGAGTTCTGTTCATCGTCCCCTCCTAGCTAAGCCAGCGTTCAGGGCTTGAGGGTGTGTGGAGTCAGGGACCAGGGCTGACTCTGAGGTGCTCACCCCGGGGTCAGACTCACCCACTGGTACCTGGATCCCCACTGAACTGCAGGCGTCTTGAGAAGCAGCAGCAAATCAGACCCCGAACTTCCATCATCTCCCGATAGCGCCGAGGCCATTACAGACTCCAGCAGAGTCTGAAGATTTCATGTAGAGGACTCTTCTCAACATAACACGTTCCTTGGGCGCATGATACTCATATGCTGTCTGGGCTGTAATCAGATGCATAAAGCCGAGTAATGCTTTGCCGGGAACTGATGAGAAGCCCAGCTCCCCCGGGGAAGCCTCCTGCCCCACGAGGACCTCCGGCACTCT